AGGTGAAGGGACTCCAGAAGCTTCTCTCTCACCAGCAAAGATGGAGCCTCCTCTCTGTGTCCTGTATTTCTGAAGAGTTCTCAGTCTGTGACATTCAGGTGTTGCAAGTGATCATCTCTTCATGGCAGAAAGAGTTAATAACCAGGAATGCTTCTATTTTCTTCTTTGGATTAACTCGTATCATCTACGTTTTCTGTATTTATTCCTTTTGTAATGTCTAAATGCTTAAGAAATGGAAGGATTCATACACATGTTTAATATACTCTTAGGTAATATAGTGGACATACCATATGGTGACCCCTCCCCAATGACTGATGTCCTATATAATCCGCACCTTTTGCGTGTGAGTGGGGTTTGTGACTTACTTTTGGATGACAGAATACGGCAGAGGTAATGGGCTGCCATCTCCATGGTTATAGGTTATGTGAGAGCTTGAGGAAGAGAGGCTCTCCCTGGCTGCCTTTGAAGAAGGCATTCTGTGGGGCCACTTGCAAGAAGGCCTTGTGACAGGGAACTGTGCAGCCTCTAGGAAGTGAGAGTGGTCCCAGGTGACAGCCAGCAGCAAGATGGGGACTTCCATCCTGTAAGCCCAGCCAACAAACTGAGAAGCCTTCGAAGGTGATCTTTCCCTACTTGGGCCTCTGAGGAGACCATGACCCCATCCCACCATGACTACAGCCTGGTGAGACCCAAAGCGGAGGACCCAGCCAGGCTGTGCCAGGACGTCTGACCTACATAGAGTGTGAGATAATTAATGTGTGTTGTTTTAAGTCACTAAATTTGTGGTGATATATTATACATCAACAGATAAAAAATGTGGGAAGCTTCCCTGTCCTGTGAGAACACATGAGCCAAATAACTCCCATAAGTATTGTGGCTGTCTCCACGCTGAGGGACGAGGGAGCCCTTAATTACCCAAGAACTGATAGATCAGAACCTCTGAATCCATCACAAGAGGAAGGCAGCCTCCAGGTGCTGGCAGACCCCGGGCACCCCAGGCCATGCTCCTGCGCCCCCCAAATGGTGTTGCAGAGCACCAGAGCCACAGAAGGCCACCCTGGGGACATGGCGGAGCAGCGCAGAATGAAGACCCCTCCCGAATCAGCCTGGACACAAAACACAAGTTCATCATCAAAACCACAAACATGACTGAACATCCCTCTCCTCGGGCTCCTGTGGGCGACTGTTGCTTTTTAACCAGACAGCATTAGCCTCGCTCTGCTCTTTTCACCTAATTGAGAGTGATTATGACATTCAGTCCTGGAATCATGGGAGCCAACTCCTTAAAATCCCTCTCCTCCTACCTTCCCTTCCAACAGTGCCTACGAATCAGTGTGTGTAGGTACATGCATATCTGTTATCACCCATCTAGTATCTACCTATCATCTATCTATCCATCTATTATCTATCTATCTCTATTTCTTCTATCTATCCATATATCTATCCTCTATCTATCCATCTATCTATCTATCTATCTATCTATCTATCTATCTTTCTCTTGGTCCTATTTTCCTGGAGAATCCTCTATCATACAGAGTTTCTTTCTTTTTTTAAATTTTTGTTTATTTTTTCAGAGAGAGAGACATAGCGTGAGTGGGTAAAGAGTTAGAGAGGGAGACACAGAATCCGAAGCAGGCTCCAGGCTCTGAGCTGTCAGCACAGAGCCTGATGATGGGCTCGAACTCACCAGCCATGAGATCATGACTGAGCCACAGCTGAACCCTTAACCGACTGAGCCACCCAGAAACCCCTATCACAGAGAGCTTCATGACCACAGATGGGACAATCGAGTAGGCTCACCTCTCCATTATCTTCAGCTAAGTGTCTGCATCTGGCCCTTTCCCTTCCTCATTTCTTCTGGCCCCTTCCACTCGGTACTGACCCAGGCTGTTTCTTCATCTTTGGGTAAAACATCCAGGGAGAATGAATTGTGGAAGACTGAGACAAACTAAGGGACATCATTCTATGGCCACTAACATTATGGATTAATTTGAAAGACAAATAAAAACAACATCAGAGCTTTGTAGTCTTTGGAATCATCTGTGTAATTACTTTCTTTCACTAACAAAATATTTTAATGGCTAACATATGATATTTGTCCTTCTCTGCCTGACTTATTTCGCTCAGCATAACACCCTCAAGGTCCATCCATGTTGCTACACATGGCCAGATTTCATTGTTTCTCATTGCCATGTAGTATTCCATGGTATAGATAAACCACATCTTCTTGATCCAATCATAGGAGGATTAGGAGGAACTTGACGGAGGAACAAGGGGGAGAATAAGGGCGGAAATGGTGGGGGAAAGGGAGAGAGGCAAACCATGAGAGACTCTTGAATGCTGACAAAAACTGAGGACTGATGGATGTGGGGGGGAGGGGGGGATGGGCATGGAGGAGGGCACTTTGGGGATGAGCACTGAGTGTTATGTAGAAACTAATTTGACAATAAACTATTTGTAAAAAAAAAATAAAATAAAATAAAATAAAATCTGAAAAAAAAATAATAGTAAAATCAGAACAAAAAAAAAAGAAAACGCTAAAAAAAAAAAATATTTTAACGGCTAAACGTCTTGTGTGGTGGAGAAAGCTGTCACTCAATAACCTGATGGCCAACAAGTCATTACAGAGGCTGTGCTGGCTCCCTGGCCCTCTGCCAGCCTGTGCCTGCCCACGTGCAGCTTTGCTGATGTAACACGATACTTGGTTTATTTTTATTTTTCATTTTTTTACTTGAAAGAGAGAGACTGCAAGCAGGGAAGAGGGGCAGAGGGAGACACACACAGAAAGAGACAGAAGGAGAAAGAGGGAGGGAGGGAGAGGGAGAGGGAGAGGGGGAGAGGGAGAGGGAGAGGGAGAGGGAGAGGGAGAGGGAGAGAGAGAGAGAGAGAGAGAGAGAGAGAGAATGCATTTGGCCCTGCACATGGCTGTGGCCAGTCCTGAGTTCCACATGCTCAGCACAGAGGGCAGAGTCCCCGGGGAGGTGACCAACCTCGCCTGCGCACGTGCGTCACGCCGCTGGGTGCCGGCCCCCGAAAGTCCCAGCAGCGTAGCCTGGGTTCCTCGCTCACCCTGGCGCAGGCGAGCACTGCCCTGACGGTCCTGGATTTGTGAGGTGGTTGGACCAAGGTGATTATCTTTGTGAGGGTTCTGATTTCTGCGTTACGGCCAGTCTTTCAAATAGCAGTGGAGCTGGATTACCACTGGGTGAGCTCCAGGACGTCATCCAGTTGACCTTTGAACAACATGGCTTGGACAGTATAGGTTCACTTATCCGTGGATGTTTTGATAAGTAGAGTAGAGGACTGTAATGTATTTTTTCTTCCTTATGAGTTTCCTAATGTTTTCTTTTCAACAGCTTATTTTATCGTGAGATCACAGCGTATAACACCTGTAACCTACAAAATGTGTGCCAATCAACTGTTTACATTAGTGGTAAGCCTTCCAGTCAACAGTAGGCTGTTAGTGACGTGCTGAAGTGTCAAGGTTACACGTGGATTTCCAACTGTGCAGGGGGTCGGCGCCCCGACCTCTGCATTGTTTATGGGTCATCTGTAGTTTAGAGAAGCAGATTCGGCGAGCCTTGAGAGCATATGCCTTGCACTGTGTACATTCAGTGGCCTGACATCTGTTTAAATTAATGGTGGGAAGTTCCTGATATCAGCAATAAAGTTATTTGCACATTATATCTTTCTGGGCAAGAGTTATCTAGAGTGGTGAAGGCAGACTGATGAAGACAGAGGAATAATGAGTAGATGTGAATGTTGACAGGTGCGTGGGTACAGAGGCTTTGGTTCTCAATGCTCAGCCCACCCCAAATTCCTGATCAAATTCGAGCAAAGCATGCTTCTGGGAGGCCCGTCCTTCACAGGAAACCCAGAAGTCACGCTTACAAACCGAGAGACTCAGACCAATGTGAGGACAGGAGGGGGGGTCACCTGGGCAGTCTGTAAGGAAGGCAGCTGTCGGAGCAGAACGTTTTCTCCCCACGCCTTCCAAACCCATACCCCGAATGACTTCCAAGGGTGTGTTCAAATGACAGAAAGTGCAGAACTGGGGAGCAGGGGGGGAGAATTCTGTAAGTGACAAGGGCACGTGCGGCAGCCCAGCCGCAGACCCGTGCCGCCTGACATCTGACCACGGAGGGAGGGGTGCCTTCTGCACCCAGGAAAGCGTGTGCCAGGGGCCAAACGCTGGGGCGAGTTCGAACATCGACAAATGTGAGCCCTTCTCCTTACTGTTTACAAGACCAAGGGGAGCGTTCTGGTTCTGCTTCCGGCGAGAGCACAGCCCGAGGCAAAGGAGAAGAGGGAAACTGCCAAGCGCCGGATTGACCCACACAAGTGTGTCCTTGCGGCTCAGCACCTCTCACTGCTAAGCACCTACCTGCTGGTCAGGTCCATCGTCTATGCAACTAACTCAGTGCAAAGAAAGGTCTCGTTGCCCCATCTTACAGACGGATGAAGAAACCCCTCCCAGAGCCTGAGCACCCGGCTGAGGCCACACAGCGAGCAGCCAACCCTAAACTCTCAGGCTCTGCGCAAGCCCACACTGGCCCCGGCACTGCTGGAAAGCCGCTGTCACGTCTGCTCTTCCACCCTGCAGTGCGTGCACAAGACGTACCTGTAAGTACACACGGCGCCATGAACCACGCACTGTCCTCCGTGTGTGTTCTATTTCTGGCCTGCTGAAAAGAGAAGTCGATCCCAAGGAAGCTCTCTTCCTTAGAAGCCCAGACTGTCATACAAAACCCTTCTCCTTCCCCACCCTCCAAAGAATACCATGTCCTTGGTGCCCAAACTGTTTCTGGAAGTCAAGGGGCCCCGCAGCCCACCTTTCAGGAGCCCGTCCTCACTGCGCAGTACAACCTTCTTTCCAGCTTAGTGCTACCATCCAGCTCCCCTTCTGAAGCCAGCACCTCTGCCAAAGCCACCCCTCCCCCAGGAAGGCCCTTGACCGAATGGCTTTGTTCTTGGAAAAATCCTGTCTTGGTGCCCACCTGGAACTTCAGACTCCTCTCCTCTGTGATTCAGCCCGGGAAATCCAGTGAGACTCCTGCCTCTGACCCTGCGGTGCCCCTCTGCTCCTCCAGTGTCACGCACGGTGCGGAGCGTCTCTGCTTGGGAGGTGTCTGCCAGGCCTGGGAGCAGCTCTGCACGTCCCCAGCCCAGGGCAGTGCCCTGCCTGAGCACACGCTCCGTCTGCACGGTCCAGTGAGCACACGGAGCAGGCAGAGGTCCTAACGTGAGCCCTCAGTGCCGGGGGAGCTGCTTGCTGAGGAAATTGTGCATTCTCCTCCTATAACAAATAGACGCATCATCAAACCTAGTGCAAAATAGGAATTTCCCTTCCAAAGGAATAGGAAAGACTTTTCGAGAAGTGAATTAAAAACATAAACTCTGGCAGGAACAAAGATTTTTTTTTTGGTCTTCTTTGCTAAATTAGTGCCACTTGAGTTCAAAGACAATAGATCATGTTTGACAGGTTTTACATGTACTAAATTCCTTTTGCCTTTCCCAAAGTTTAGATCTGTGACTTAAACATACTTCATACAGGAAATTACCCTGTCCACTCCACGTTGCTATTTATCAACGAGAAACAAGGTACTTTGTGAACGACACTGCACTTCACAGGATTCCTTTTAAGTGAGACGATATACAGAACCCCACTTGTTGGGCAGAAAATTGAAACACAGGCGAAGAAAATATTTCTAAGCACACAGCAAATGCACAACCAGGTTGAGAGCAGACACAAAGCAGTTGCCACCCCCACCCCAGGTTGGATGGCGCGAGCTGCACTTCCCATCCATCGCGCCCAAGTGTCCGCTCCCCTCGCACGGTCACTAATGAAACCCTGCCTTGGGTGGCTCTGCGATGTGCACTGAGGAGGACAGTGCAGCTACGTGGTCCTGAGGATCTGCGCCCTACGTGCTGAAGAGTGTGGAGCGGCTCAAGAGGAAGCATTTAGCACAGGGCTCAGATGTGTGGGGCAGGGTGCTGATCCGGGCTAGATACACTGGGGATACAGCCCTCCCCTCTCTGGCGGGGGCGGCGGGGGGGAGTGGGGCGCAGAGTCAAAGGCAGCGGCATTTGGATAAAGTTATGGGCAGGAGGGAGATGTCTGGAATGAAAAGTGAGATCATCCAACACATGATTGGGCTGAGTCTGAGGGCTGATTTAATGTTCTAATTGATAATTAAGCTTCAAAGAGCTTCCAGAAGGCTGGGCGCGGATGGGAGAGGAGGATGTGAATCCCCTTCTATGGCAGTGGGGCTTTGTCTCGTAGGTTACTGTGGTGACAGTTTGTAGGATGAGACAATGACTTACTTTAAAAAAAAGCAGCTCTTGAAGAGCACTGGCATGTAGAGCAAAGGGAGATGTGGACTGGGCGGCGTGTGGGGCTCTGTGAGTCGCAGGTGCAAGGGAGGGAAGCGGAGGCAGGAGGAAGCGGGTCTGGTGGGGAGAAGGCGCTGTCCAGCAGAAGTCAGGTGGGTGAGCGGGGAACCAGCTCGGGATCCCGTTCAGGAGTAGCTTGAGTTCCCGCCTCCAAAGCCACACCACATTAACAGGCATCAGGAATCACTAGCTATTTTATTTATCTTTTAATGTTTATTTTTGTTTTTATTTTATTTTTAATGTTTTACTTATTTCTAGGAGAGAGAGAGAGAGAGAGAGAGAGAGACAGCATGAGCAGGGGAGGGTCAGAGAGAGAGGGAGTCACAGACTGAAACAGGCTCCANCTAGGAGAGAGAGAGAGAGAGAGAGAGAGAGACAGCATGAGCAGGGGAGGGTCAGAGAGAGAGGGAGTCACAGACTGAAACAGGCTCCAGGCTCTGAGCTGGCAGTCAGCACAGAGCCCGACGCGGGCCCGAACCCACGAACCGCGAGATCATGACCTAAGTTGGACGCTTAACCGACTAAGCCACCCAGGCGCCCCTAATGTTTATTTTTAAGAGACAGAGCGTGAGCAGGGGATGGGCTGGGAGAGGGAGAATCCGAGGCAGGCTCCAAGAGCCCAGCTGTCAGCACAGACGCGGGGCTCAAACTCTCAAACCACGAGATCATGACCTGCGCTGGTCAGACGCTGAACTGAGCCACCCAGGCGCCCCACCAGCTGCTTTAAGCAGAAAGAGATCTCCTGCAGAGAACTGAGTGCTGCCATCAGCGTCAAAGAGAGGGGTGGTCTGTGCCCCGGGCTCCAGGAAAGTGTGGAAGACCTTTCTGGAGAGCTCTGCCCCCTACTGGGAGCAGGAAGGGGAAGCACGGTGGGGCCGCCTGAAGCCAGCTTTAGGAACCCGCCAGGGTCCTGGGGGACGCAAGTCCCTTAGCCCCATCCCGGGCACCAGGAAGCCGCCTCTGGTGCAGGGGGGCAGGGCCCAGAGAGCAGGCCGGGGCTGCAGGAACCCGGCATCTCAGTCCTGCCCGCCGGCCCCCTGCAGCCCCTGCCTGGCAGCCTTCCCATGCAGGTGGCTGCTTCCTGGAAGTTAACAGACTTGCGCGATGCAACCGCAATAGAAGCACAGGAACACGGTCCGGACCTGGGGCCTCTGGAAAGCCACGTGTGCAAGAGTTTCCAACGGACCTCGAGTGCCCATCTGCCCAACGTGCCGTAGGAACCCCTTTGCCAACTCTGTCTACACACACACCACCCTGAGGACACCCAAGGCTCCTGCCCAATGTGAGGGATTTGTTTGTTCTTCATTCAAATGAAAAGTAATTCCATCTTCTCTGCAGAAGGGAAGAAAGAAAGTGGTGTTTAAATAGAGATTTAATGTTTCCCCTCATCTACCATAAAATGCCTTACTGGATCAAAAATCTCTTCTTAATAGAAATTCAGGCTATTACCACAAATTCAACAGGATGCATCCCAGGGACATTTGGGGGTCATACTTCCCTATCTTTCTTTCAATGAAGAACATTAAACTTTTTTTTTTTTTTTAATTCTAATAAATGGTCTCCAACTCTTGGAACATCCACCACAGATCTGGAACGCACTCGTCATGTTAGCACCATTTCTCTTTATGGCAGGGCTTGAAGATGAGCCCAAAGCAAAATTTCTAGCCAAAGATGTTTGGTGTCATTTTATGTAAAATTCAAACAATTGCTAGACACTTATTCTAAATGAAAGACACTTTCACCACCCACCCCCCCTTCTTGGCAATAAGTTTTTGCCTGGATAATTTACAGAATGTACTATATTCTCACGATCTTAGAATAGAACCATTCCAACTCACAATCTGAATCATCAATTTCATAAATAAGGAAGTTTTGAGAACCACGGCTTCTCAAGGACATTTAGAAACTTAAAAGACTGCTTTTCAAAAGCTTTTTGTCCCTCTGGGTCCAGAAAGTTGTTTTGTGTGCTTTTCCCAGAAAAAAAGTAAACCACCTCTCCTAAGCTGCATACATCACTGAATCAACACATCCTTGACTTCCTACTTGCCCAGCACCAACCTCTCCTTACCAATCCTGGAGTTGACACCCAGGCTCCCAACTCTATTTTCAGAAGGCAGCCAGAACAAAATGTTTTCATGCAAATCACTGCCATCCGCGTCTGAAATTCCTTATGGCCGCTCCTTGCACTTAGAACGTGAATCCTTTCTACCCTGGCTTCCGAGACCCTGTGGCATCAGCAGGTGCTGCCCTGCCCCACAAGCAGTTGACACCAAGTAAGTGTCTTCGCACATCTACACTCTAGACCCTGAGCTGGTTTCTGATGCTTTGATGTGACAAATTCACTTCTGACTTGGAGACTTTTATCATCATCTCTACCACCTGCAACTTTTTTTTTTTTGTAATAGACTTTACTTTTTGGAGCACCTTTAGGTTCACAGGAAACAGTAGAAGGCAGTGTTCCCGGGTGCCCCTGTCCCCACACTGTGCTTAGTCTCTGTCATCGTCAGCACCAGGTGGTACGCCCAGTCCATGGTGTGAGTTAGGGGTCACTCCTGGTGTGGCACATTGTATGGATGACATGTACGTGTCATTACAGCACTGCACGGAGTGGCCTCACTGTCCTAAAAATCCTCTGTGCTCTGTTCATCCCCCTGCTCTCCCCCAACCTGTGAGAGCCACTGACCTGTTTACTGTCTTCATGGTTTTGCCTTTTCCGGAGTGTCATGTAGCTTGAGTCATACAATATGCAGCCTTTTCAGATTGGCTTCTGTCATTTAAAAATATGCATCTGGGGCGCCTGGGTGACTCAGTTGGTTAAGTGTCCTGTTCTTGGTTATGGCTCAGGTCATAATCTCACAATTTGTAAGTTCGAGACCCAAGTCAGGCTCTGTGCTGATAGCACAGAGCCTGCTTGGGATTCTCTTTCCCCCTCTGTCTCTGCCCCTTCCCTGATCATGTGTTCTGTCTCTGTCTCTCTTTCTCTCTCTCAAAATAAATAAATAAACTTAAAAATATAAAATTAAAAATTTGCATTTAAGATTCATGTGTCTTTTCATGGCTTAACAGCTCATTTTTTTTTATTTTTATTTTATTTTATTTTTTTAATTTTTATTTCTAGGAGAGAGAGAGAGACAGCGTGAGCAGAGGAGGGTCAGAGAGAGAGGGAGTCACAGACTAAAACAGGCTCCAGGCTCTGAGCCGGCAGTCAGCACAGAGCCCGACGCGGGGCTCGAATCCACGAACCGCAAGATCATGACCCAAGCGAAAGTCGGACGCTTAACCGACTAAGCCACCCAGGCGCCCCAACAGCTCATTTCTTTTTAATGCTGAATAATATTCCACTGTCTGGATGGACCCCGATTTATCTACTCACCTACTGACAATTTTTAATAAAGCTGCTATAAACATGTGTGTGCAGGCTTTCATATGGAGAGAAGTTTTCTGGTCATTTGTTTAAATACCAAGGAGTGTGATTGTTGGAGCTCCCAATGTTTAATCTCACTAGGTTATACTCTTATTCAGAAGATCATCCATTTATTCATCTGCTCATGGATTCCTTCAACAACTATTTGGTGAATAACTACTTCTTCACTCTTCTTCCAGAAAAAAAATCTCTCCCTTGACTCCAACTGCCCTCTTCCAGCCACCAAGAACATCTCCAAAGCCACTGCTGAGATGCGGAGTGGCGCTTCCCTACCAAGGAGTCTCTGTGCCCCCCCCTGGGGACGTCGGGCAAGGTGGGAGACAGTTACGACCACAGGGCTGGGCCAGGCATTCCTGGCAGCTGGCGTGAGATGGTGGGGTGGGGGGGTGCTGTACAGGGCACAGGACTGCCCTGGCCTGCGCCCCAGCTCCAGGAGTCGCAGGAGGCCTGCTCGGCGTGGCCCCAGGTTCAGGGCCCGGAGTGGAACCTAGCGGAAACCGCCTACACCACGCACACAAACCCACGACAACACTTCTGCAGGACACTGAAGACACCAGTGGGCTAGGTCGTGCCAGGCCTTGAACGGGGCTCAGCAGACCCCAGGCAGTCCCTCTGGATGACGGTAGGCAGGAGGGTGCGAAGGGAGGGGGAACCGGGAACCGGCAGGTGGGGGGGGGGCCCAGACCGGTTGCAGAGTGGGTGCTGGGGGGGGGGGGCTTGAGGCTGTGGGACCTGAGCCCGCCGGCTGGGAGGGTGCACGGTGGAAGCGGGTGAGGGGACAGCGCGGGGGCTGCCCACGCAGAGAGGGAGGGAGAGCGAGGGCAGCCTCCGAGGAACCAGAGAGAATGCCTGGGGCCCTGGGGCGCCCAGGCCAGAGGTGAGCGGAGAGCTCCGCCTCTGTGCTGCACACAAGGAGGGGGTGGCAGAGCCCCAGGGAGGGGCCTCCAGGGCTGCGGGGGGGGGGGGGGGGGGTAGGCAGTGCCGCTGGCAGGGGACAGCTGCCCGGGTCCCGAGTGACCCGGCTGCTGTGGGTCCCACAAGGGAGTCTGCGCTTGAAGGGGCACAGCGCTCCCTGGACGGCGCCACCCCTGCAGGGCCCCCCCTCCTGGCTCTGGTGACCGACCCCCGTGTCTCCGGGAGTAAGATCCCTCCCCGAGGAGGCACCGAGCAGAGGCGGGCAGCAGGCCTGCTGTGGCGGAAGCGGGTGCAGGGAGCGGAGCCCGGGACGCTGGCTGCAGTCGGTCCTGGCCAGGAGGGCGCGAGCAGGGCGCCCCCCAGCTCTCGTTCTCACCCCCGCTGCCGTCGGGGCTCGTCACACGGGGCCTGGCGCTTCCACCCGGCACCGGCCCCACGAGCTGTGCAGCCGGTCTCGGCGCCGGGGCGCGTCCGTGTCTGGTCTCCGTGCACGCGGCGGGCGGGGAGCTGGCCCCCGTGAGCAGGGGGCGCCTCGGACTCGACCCGGAGGCCCTGCTGGGTCACACACGTGCAGGGGCGGCCGGGGGGAGGGGAGGGGAGCCCGGGGAAGCCTCGCACAGGGAGCAAGTACGGAGAAAGCGCTGGGGGAGCCGGGGCGCGGCCTGGGGCGGACTCGGCGAGGCCCCTTCGCTCCTCACGCTCATCTTCCTCCTGCGTGTGAGCGGCACGTGGGCCTGGAGGGTCCGAGAGCCGGAGGAGGCAGAGGGCCGGCTCCACAAGGTCTGGAGGTCTGTGGGGTCACGTGCACGCGGCGTGGCCCGATGTGGGGTCAGGTGCACGCGGTGTGGCCCCACCAGAGCCAGGCGAGCCCTGCCGGCCATGGAAAGGAGCCCAAACTCTGTCGCTGCCGAGGGGAGACGAAGCATCGAATCCACAGCCTGCCCACCTGTCCCCTCTCGGCTGTGTCGCCCTCATGCACAGCGGGGCGCTGCTCACGGCCGGTGGGGAGGGCAGGAGCCCGCTGCGAGGGGCTCGCGGGCCACCGAGGGGCTGCCGTGCAGGGGACCTGGCCCAGGCGCGCTCTCCCCACGACGTCTAGCAGTTTACCGGTGGCTCACCTTCTGTTTCCAGCTGGCGGCTTCTCCCTTCCAAAGAGCTCTGGCCGGTGCTGGGAGGCCTGGCTGCTGGGGGAGGGGGAGGCGTGCAGGGGGCGGCGGGGGGAGACCGGGCGGGGGGGAAGGCCGGGCGGGGTGGGGGCCCTGCGGGGCTGGGCTGGGTGCAGAAGGTACACCGTCTCGCACTGGTTCTGCCGTGCCTTGGGTTCACAGAGGGCACAGGTCGGGGTCAGAGTGCAAGGTGAACGGGTTGTGGAGGGGAGTCCCTTCCTCTCGGGATGGGGGCCTTCGTCCTGCAAGAGGAGCCTGTCACGCTGCAGGTGACCAAGGGCAAAGGCCGGAACCTGCAGACGTGGACCCTGGAGGACGTGCCCCCAGCGCTCAGGTTCAGGCCGGGGGAGGAGGGGTCCCTGCGCAGGGAGGCAGCCGCCGGGTGTCTCAGACAGGATGCTGAGGAAGTGGAGGTGCAGTCAGGAGGGGCCGGGGCCGAGCAGGGCCCGGCACCCCCCAGGGCGCACAGGGAGGCCGGGGCCCTTGCCCTCTCCCATCGCTGTGGACCGGCCTCTGGGCAGCGTCTGCGGGGCCCCAGCAGCGGGAGGCCCGCATCGCGGGGCGGGTATGCGGGGGAGGGTGCGGCTGGAGGCCCCGGGGCTCCTCTCTGCTCGCAGGGGCGGAAGTGAGGCGCACACAGGGTCCCCCGAGCCAGGCTCCCGCTGCTGCCATTCAGCCTGGAGAAGGCAGTTGCAGAGCCTGGCGGGGCGGGGGTCCTCGAGCGCCCAGGAGCCGGTGAACCGCCTGCGGCCGGTACGAGCCCCAGGAGGCGGCCAAGCAGACCCCTTCTGGCTGCAGGTCGGCCGAAGGCGACGCAGGGGCCACGTCACTTCCGGCTGCCTGCTTCCACTCGGCCTTGGCCGTGGCAGTGGGAACCCCCCCAAGGCAGCTAACCTCCCTCCGGGCTGCCCTCTGGGGCCCCTGGGGCCCCACTGAGCCCACGACACCCAGTACACAGAACACCCACCTTTTGTGCGCCGCCGGCGAAAGTGCGGGTCGCTGCCGGCGCGCCCCACCTGCCCGGCCCCGGGGGTGGGAGCCACTCCCTCTTACCGCCGAGACCCCGGCCTCGCGTCTCCACACCGCCGACACCACACGGAGCGTCCAGGGATAAGCCGCTCCCGCTGCCTGGCGGCCCCCAAGCTCCCCACGTGGGGCGCGGGCCCGTGAAGGGGCCCCACGGCCGTGCGTCCTTCCGAGCCGAGCTTCACCGTAACACTCACACGGGCTCTGCGTTCTCCTCCCGACGACGCCGGCCTCGAAAACCCGACTCTTCCCCTTCCCGAGGGGGCGCCATCTTCCCGGAAGGGCCTCGCGTCGCCCAGCTCCGCATCACGTGGAGGGTCGGGCCGAGCGCCGGCCCAGGGGACAAATCACGGCTGTGACCCGGGGCGGGAGGCACCCCCGGAGCGCAGGGGGCTTAGGGCCGCGCGCGGGGGCCTGTCACGGGGCAGCCGCGCCCGGCAGAGCGCCTTCCACCAAGGACGCCGGGCAAACAGCGCGTAATGTGGTTCCCGAGGCCATTTGTGTCTAAGACGCAAGGAAAGACTGACATCTGGTGGCCATCTGTTAGCATGACATCACGGGTCCGGGAACGAACCTCCTCAGATGCAGTCTGAATTCTAAACTGTTCGCGCTGCAAAGAGCTCCATGAAACAAACCCAGGGATTTTAAAAGATATAATGTAACGCGGTTTATTCTTCTTATAGAGACGCACATCAAATGAAAGAACAGCTCGGCGTAAAGCAAAACATAGGAACTTTCTAAGAACAAATGGCATTTTACGTTCATAGGATAAAAATCTCCTTGGCTTCTAGACCAAATCTATTAACCGTTTCGGCGGAAGGCTGCATTAATACATTAAGTCATCAGTCTAACTAACCTCCGAATTTTGTTACGTCCTAAAGTTTTAGTTTGGAGAGTTTACTGCCTATCAGCAACAACTGAGACTTTGAGTAGATCCTCCAGACCCTCGAAACAAGGAACTGGACCCCACATGTATGGAAGCCCCCACATCAGAAGCCAGAATCTAGACACCCCTCCAGGCCCAAGGGCATTCAAACAGAAAAATGCCATGTTTTTCTTGGAAGTTTGATAAAAAATGAATTAAAAAAAAAAAAAACCCAAAACCTGAAGATCACAAACGATTTTTCTAAGAGTAAGCTAAAGACATACTTGTTTTCCAAAATGGATAACGCCACTGATAACCTGTTATGAAATACTCTCTGCCTCATAGGTCCTATGGATTTGGACCTGTTCTGGTCACTTTTCCCCTAAATGGCAGGTAATCCTTTATAAGGACATACCAGCTCAAATAGGCCACTCACTTGAGAATTCAGAGGCAGGTGTGTGGTTCCAAATTCACTGTTCACCGTTTTCTGCAGTGTAGACATTTGCTTGTTTCCATGACAATGATGAAACAGGTGTGGCTGCGGGAAACATGGGGAAAGAGGAAAAATGTAATTTTCAGCATTCCTCAATTAGTGGCCCTATGTCAATGTCCGTTACCACGTATAATGTGTTTTGGTTCAGCCTGCAAAGTAAGAATGAGTTTTACCTTGAGGGGAAGGAGCAAAGAGAGAGAGAGACACAGGATCTGAAGGCTGCAGGCTCTGAGCTGTCAGCACAGAGCCGGATGAGGGGCTCGAACCTACGAACCGTGAGATCATGACCTGAGCCAGTCAGACGTTCAACCGAGCCACCCAGGTGCCCCCCAAAATTTTGTTTTTTAAGTAATCTCTGTACACAACCTGGGGCTTGAACTCATGACCCCAGATAAAAGAGTCTCACATTTCACGGACTAAGCCGCCCCAACACCCAAGTTTTATGTTTTTAAGTGATTCTTTAAAAACTAAAAACTAATGACACATATGCAGCAGATATCTGTGTGGCTTCCAAAAGCCTAAAACAGGTACCATGTGGCCTTTTGCAGAGTGTGTCTACCCTACATCACACAGACAAAACTTTCGTTCCTTTGGACGTCTGAAGAACTGGTTTGAGAAAGTTAGAAGAAAATGTGTGTTCAGTTTTGAATGTAAGTGCTTACTCTCTTTTACCTTCAATTACTTGCAGCCAGTCTGACTCACTCTGACATTCATTGAGCACCTACTGTGTACAACACTTCACAAGGTTTAAAAGGAAAACTGAGAGGTCTTAGAAGACACGACAATCACTGTAATCCAAATCTAAGTGTGGTGTTACACAAAGGCCAGTCAGGCGGCACCTGGGTGGCTTGGTCTGTTGAACAACTTTGGCTCAGGTCATGATTTCGGGGTCCGTGAGTTTGAGCCCCACGTCGGGCTCTGTGCTAACAGCTCAGAGCCTGGAGCCTGCTTCACATTCTGTGTCTCCCTCTCTCTGCCCCTCCCCTGCTCACGCTCTGTCTGTCTCGCTCTCAAAAATAAGTAAACATTTAAAAAAAATTTTAAATCAGTCAATGCTAAGGGGCAGAAAAGGAGTTCAGTGTCCCTTGCGGTTGTGGAGTAAAATGTGGGACCTGGAAGGTGACAAGCAGTAGAGCTGGGAGGAGGGTGTTCCCGGCAAGGGGAAGAAACGGGCTGACAGACAAAGGCGTGAGGGCAGCAGGGAGAGCTTAGCAGGGGCGCTGCGGGTATGAGCGGACAAGGCAGAGGGAGGTAAGGCTGGAGGGTGAGTTCCTGCCTCCCCCACTCAAATAAGCTGGACAAAACCACTCATTTGGGAAACCTTAAATAAAAAGGAAGTTGCTGTGAAGACACATTTGTCTGGGATCAGAAACCAGAAATAGAAAGTCATCAGGACGCAGACGTGGTCTCCTCTGCCCTTTCCCTAACGGTCACGCGTCGGCCTCCCGAGGTCCATCTGCTTCCCGCTGCGGCTCACCTCCTTTCCCTGTAAACCCCGGCCTTGTTTTCCGCTCTGGGGTAAATGGGTCCCTCAGGTCCCTCAGATACTGGCCTGCCTTAGGTGTCAACGACGGGACATCCGGCTGTCAGGTCTGGATCCCTGGACCCACAGACGGTGTAAGAAAGGGCAGGGGTGCGGTATTTGTAGAGGAACCAGACTGCTCTCTGGGAAGGGTTGTTTCCGGTTGCAGTGTCCATACTGAACATTTTGGAAGCAGCCGGTCAAGTTCGGGCGTCTAGGTAGCACATACAATGCTTGTACCGAATGCTAAGAATTTGGACTGTATAACCAGGCACTGGGAAGCCGCGGGAAGTTTCTGAGCCAGGCACTGGCGCGGCAGCGAGCTGGGGTCGTTAAAGAGAGACTTCTGCTGGCTTCGGTCCGAGCCAAGGATCGGGCCCGAATTTACCCAGGAACTGTGGCCGGGGGAGGAGTTCTGTTTTCCCCTCTCAAGAGGTAAAGGCTCGGGATTTGGGAGCTGCCTGCTACCGGCCGTGATTGGGGCCACCGGCTGCGCCCCAGCCAGGGCTTCGGGCCGCGCGGGGAGGGCCTGGCAGAGGGACCGACCGACCGCAGCAGGCGCGGGCAGCTGCCGGGAAGAAGGACGGTTTCGCGGGAAGGAGCTGTCGCGGAGGCCGCGCCACGGCGGGAGGACTCGCCCGGGGTCGTCCGCCGCGCGGGGCGTCGGGAACCATAGTCCGTCCTTCCCCTCCGGGTACCCGGTCGGACTCGGACAGAACTGTTCCCACCGGTTCCAAAGCGCACACCGGCCCATCCCCGCGCGGGGCCTTCCAGTGCTGCGGGCGCCCGAGTGACGTCATCACGGGGGTCACCGCCCCCTCGCTGAAGGCTTTAGGCGTCTATGGAAAGTGTGCCACACATCAAGCCGGCAATAGAAGATTAACCCCCTGCCCAGCGCAAGGGGCGCACCTCCGATGCCTTTACCCTCGCCGACCTTTCCTTTGTGGGCGCCTGTCCCGCCGCCTCGGCCCGGCCCCACGACCTGTGTTGCTCAGGCGGCGCCCCGGGCAGCCCCACGCCGCGGCGAGGGGCGGGGCGAGCTAGGGCGGGGCGGGGTCCTGGCTAGGCGCTGTCGCGCTCGGGGGCCGCGCCGGGTCGCGTTTCTCTCTAGTGCCCGAGGCGGCTCCGGTTGGGAGAGCCCTTCGCCAGCCCCACGGGGACCTCTGTGCACGGATGGACCCGCCCGGACCCGGCGGGAAGCGGCCTGGCAGGCGGCGGCCCCGGCGGCGTCAGCAGAGGGAGGACAGGGCCCGGGCCGCGGGTCCCTGAGGCGCGCGGGCCCACCGGGCCCGGCGTTGGCACCATGATGCCGGGCGAGACCCACTCGGCGGCGCCCGGGACGGCGGCGGACCTCTCGCGGTGTCAGGGCTGCGCCTCCCTGCAGCAGGTGCGGCGCCTTCCCGGGCCGAGGGCGCGGAGGAGGTCGGCCGGCCGGCCGGGGCGTGGGGCTGGGGGTCCGGCCGCGCGGGCTGCGCCTCGGCGCGCTGCGCCCGCTCCACGGCGGAAGCTCCCCCTCCTCCCCCTTTCCACTGCAGTTGCATTGGGAGCCGCCTCCTTTGCTTTATTTAGGCTTGTGCCCCGGGACTCGTTTACCGGGATGCGGTGGGAGGGGGGCGTGGGCGGAGTGAGCGAGCGCCGGGGTTGGGGCGGGGGGGCTTCCTTCACTTACCCAGTCTCAGGGCGCCGCAGGGCCGACGAGTGATGCGCGAAATGCTGAGGGCAGCTGCCTCTCAGGATGAGGGGTTGGATTGCTCTGGATCATCTTGAAATATTTTTTGCCTGGAGGCAGGCCGTGCGGGTTGGCCGGGAGGGCCATTCATTAATTAAAGGCGTACACATGCTGGAAGCTTCTAGCAGCAGGAGGGACCTTTCTCTAGAGTGACGGAAGAGGAGTTACTTACCCCAGGGCTTGGGAGGTGGTAGAAATGGCCCCAGGCACTTGTTGCCGACTAGATCCTCTTAGCTGTCTGATGTCGAGGGTCTCTTAACTTCTGCAGTCAGCGCCTTTCCCGGTAAAGTGGATCCACTCACTGCCCCACCGACTAGATGCCATTAAGGTATCACTCTTCCTGCCTGGTGCTCTAGGCACCAGGGACACAGCGAGCAGAACACAAGGTCTGCCTTTGTAAGCCTCATGTGTGCAAATAAGGTTTTGCGGGATTTTAAGGAGTTGGAGGAAAATAAAGGAGGAGTTGGAATGGTGGCCTTGCCCCTGGGCCGCGATGGCAGCGGGGGTGAGGGAGGGAGGCCCGAATGTTAGGCAGGAGAGCCTGAGAGGAGCTTCCTGGGTGGAGGGTCAACAGGTGGAAATGTTAGGAGGTGAGAAGGAGCCGGGTGTCTTTGAGGAGCAGAGCAGTGTCGGCTTGGCGAGAGTACAGTGCGGAGGGGAGAGGGATGCGGCGAGGAGACCAGCAAGGAGTGTGGGCCAGAGAGGCTATCAGGAGACGTGGTTTTTTTTTTTTTTTTTTTTTAAGGGCGTTATCTGTGAAGCAGCCCTGCGTGTTTCAGGTGTTGAGAACAGAGTAGAGAGAGGGGGCCCTGCACTGGGCACGCCGGATGGAGGGAAGATGGTGGTCTGAGCTCCGCTGCCCTGGACGGGTGCCTATAACCTGCTTCTGTCTCCCCTCAATCAAACCCCCAGGGACATGAGTGACACTCTCTTAGATCTTTTATAAACCATATTCTTTGGGCCAGTTTCATCCAAAACTATTTACAGGTGGTCTGCTGTGTTCTTAGCATCAGGGGGGAAAGGCAAACACTCTTGGTTTCTGGGAGCTTCCATTCTAGGAGGTGGGGGGAGGAGGCGGATGCAACAAGTTACGTGAGGAAATCATAAATGCGTTGGAGGTTCATTAAGCAAAGAAGGTAGAGAGAACAAACGGGCCCGGAAGGGGCCCCTGGTTGGTGGTACTTACATGGGAAGTCCTGCGCAGGCTTCTGTGAAAAGGTTCTATTTGAGCAAAGGGGGTGAGAGAAGGAACTCCGTCGACATCGTGGGAGGGGAGCGTCTCTTCCAGTGGGCAGATGGGGTGTGGACGCCTGACACTGGGGCGTGCTGGGTGCGCCGGGAAGAGCGGGCCAGCGTCGCTGCAGCGAGTGACCCCGGACGTCATTGCCCCTGCCGAGCTGCGTAACCGAACCCCGAAACACAGTGGGAGTTCATTCCTCCTAGTTCTGTTGACCGGGGTCTTAGATCAAAGCACAGGCCCATCCGGGGTCTGGGGAGGGCCCCTTGCCTGGTTTGTGTGCTGTGTCCTCACCTGGTGGGAGGGGAAGCCAGCTCTCTGCACTCTTTTGGAAAGGGCACTAATCCCATTCACAAGGGCTCTGCCCTCCTGACCTAATCTCCTCCCAAAGACCCCAGCTCCAAACGCTGTCACTTCTGGGATCAGATTTCAACCAGTGCATTTTGGGTGGAGTCTGATGAAGTCGGGAACGAGGAGGGCCTGCTTGTGGGGTCTTCTGGACTGCTGTAAGGATTTTGGCCTCTACTCTGAAAGAGCAGCGAGTTGTTGGAGGCTTTGTGCAGGAGAGAAATTTCACTTTTTAGTTGTGGATCTGGCCCTCCTTCAGGAGCCTGGTCTGCAGTCCTGGTGGTGGTTCAAAGTGGCAACTGTAGCCTTCTGGTTGTTCAGGCCGGAAACTAAGTGTCATCCTTGGCTCCTGCTTTCTCTCACATCCCGCCTCCAGTCTGTCAACCCATTCCATTGACTCAGCGTTCACTTCCCCCTACGTGTGGCTGTTCCCCGCCGCTTCCAGCCGGGGGGCCAGCGTGCTCTCTGGCCTAGGGGGTCTTGCTGTAGCCTCCCGAGAACTTCCCGCTTCCCGCCCTCGGCGCAGTCCCACTCCTGGGTCTCAGAACAGCGGGAGGAGGAGTCCTGTTAAGTCTCTGCAATCCAGGGGCCCGCAGGCTCGTTCCACGGGGGGCAAGGTCATGAGATCGAGGTGTTGCGGGCTGTTGGCAGCTCCGCCCGTGGCCGTTGAAGGCACGCGCTGCATGGCAGCGGGAAGGGAACGGGCGTGCTTGGGCCCCAGGGAAACTAGCCCTCTTCCTAAGTCAGGACGCGCCATTGCATCTGGGTTTCTGCCTAGAAAGTCTTTTCAGGAGAAGAGGATGAGTAGATGTGCGTAGAGCCTCAGACAAGTTTTTAATTTTGCAAAGTGAGGCTGGAAAAGTAAGATTGTGGCAGATGATGGAAGATCTCGGATGGTAACTACCTTACAGTTTTGTTAGTTTTGTCAGCGTCATGGGGTAGAGCAAGGCCTTGCAGATTGCCACGTAGCGGGGTTTTCAGTAGAGATAGCAGGTGGTGATGTACTGCTTGGATTGAGGGGATGCCCTGGCTGTGGAACATACTAGTGATGACAGAAGCATGGGTGAACTGCAGCTTCCCAGGGAAGGGAATAGAGAAAAAAAGGGCCTAAATGTGAGAATTTGCAGAGTAGGTGGGTCTCAGATCTGGGCAATAAAAGATCAGAGGGTAAAACCCAAGCAGCCGAGCACTGGCAGGGGTGGGGGGCTTGGGGGGCAGGAACGCACCCGGAAGCGATGTTGGAAACCTGGGAGGGAGGTTCTGGGGTCACACATGGTGTGTGTGGCGGCTGGAGTGGCGCACGGTGCCCTCCGTACGCAGTGGACTTGGAGGAAAAGAGGCGGCCTGGAGGAGCGCACCGTCACGTATAAGGGATTTTGGAAACCTTTGTGGCAAATCCTGAGACGAGGTGTTGCCGTGAGGAGTCCGTGGAGAGAAGGCTGCTGGAGGAAGGCGAGCGGGGACCGAATGGGGACAGGAGGCCACACAGGGACCGGAAGTGCCCGTGAAGTCAGGGTGGGGAGATGGAGAACAGGGAGCAGGCGAGGGATCTGACAGCCTGGACAAGGTCACCTTTCTGAGAGGCGCCCTGGTACCGCAGCAGGTCCCGCACTTGAGGTAAACTTGTGCCAGAGAAGCGGAGGGTGTGCCCTGCACAGAGACGGTGGCCCGCTGTATGGTGTCACACAGCTCCTCACGTGTCACACACCACGGGCAAGCGGCCAGGCGTCATCCCCTCGGGCGCAGGTGCTGGGCCTTCGTTGTGTACCACGGTGAGAGGCTGGCTGGCTGTCCCCAGTCCCGGCCCCTCCTCCCTGCCCGCTCGTCTTTCTCTTCTGTGGTGCCCTGTGATCATCGCTCTGCCCGCGGCTGCGGATTAACCACATTTTACGCATCTGTGTTTTGTAGTCGCACTCAAGCCTCATCTCCTGTCTCTTGTCACCCTCAGTGGCGAGGCTGGTTTCTCACTGAGCTCTGGCCCACGGTGCCTGTGGGCTCCTGAGCGTGAGCGGCCACGCGTTCCAGCGTGGGTCCTTACTCCGGCGCGGTGACGCCGCATCAGCTGGTGGTTTTGGGTCCGGCACAGGTTGCTGTGTTCTGGTGGAGGAGAGCAAAACAGCTGAACCTGGGGGATCCTGACGAGCACACGGTGATCCTTCTCAGCTCATGTCACTGGACAGGATTCAGGGTAGACGCTGTCTGGCTGTCCTCAGGGCAGACTTGAGCCTGTGGCTTACATGCACTTGTGTTGGACGCCCCCTGATAACTGCCGGTGTGTAGACCCTGAAACCTGTTTTCTCCTAGACATACCGATTGGTAAGTGGCTGTGTTACAAGGAACGCTCACAGAATTGCCCGTCACTTAGCAAGTGTTTGTTGAACATCATTGTGTGTGTGTGTGTGTGTTTGGAACACAGTCAGGAACAGAAGTGGCTGGGGGCTTGTGTTCTAGTTCAGGTTACAGGGGGTGAGAAGACGCCAAAGAACAGGTATGAGAACAGGTGTCCTGTTGGGGGGTGACCAGGGTACCCTGAGCGCACCGAGGGGGACAGCGGATGGCTTCTACAGGAAGTGAGTCTGAATTGAAATCTAAGGATGATTCTTAGTTGAGTGAGGGGAAGAGATGGAGGCAGCGGGTGTGGCCAGAGCGGGACCACGTGCAGAGAGCAGGAGGGGAGAAGGTGCTTTGTGAAGACCAGACGCCAGGCTCCGTCCTGCCTTCCCGGGAAGCGGGGCCCCTCAGCTGGCCTGCTGGGGCGGGCCCGGAGCACAGCTGGGGGGGGCGTCCCCACCTTGCTGCCCGTTCTGGTCTGCTCAGCGCCAAGGAGACCACATGGGGTTCCTTGCTCGCCTCTCGGGGCGCACACTCAGCTCTGCGGGAGATCCAGGCGGACTTCAGGGGCTTGCAGTTAGTAAAAGGTGGGGTGTCGGAGAGGAGTCGCACCAGACAGTGAACCCCATCACCCCCGCCTGGCAATTGACGGGATTAGTGGGATTTTTGAAAATAATTTCTCTTGAGAGAAACTTAGAACTTACAAGAAAGTCACCAGAAGAGCACGCAGAGCTCTGGTGTT